TTAACAGAATTGGAGGAATTATATTTATTACCATATTATATAACAAGGATTCGACTATAGAGACGCAGTATCCTGATGATGACGCTGGTGTTCGACGTCGAAAAGTGTCGGCAAATAAATGACTTCAAATCGTCCATTTTAACTGTTGCCTTGAATTATATATGGAAATCGAAGACCTTTAACTATTGATACCTCCTTCCATGCTAAATGGATTCGAAGACACGCCAAAATTCGCTGTAATCATTCTTGGACGCGTGGTTCGAACACAATCATGACAGAGCACACTATTGTTATTAACCGGTTCTTGTAAATCCCGCAACTTAGGTCTAAAAAACCTTAATTATCGGATAACAGACGATTTGTAACGGCAGCTCAGTACCAAAAATTTAGTCTTCAGCAGACTCAGCACGTTCCTGAACCCAATTCGCTTCCATATTTGAGGTTTGACAAAAGCGAAAATACATTAAAGGAATATTTTGCGTCATCTGATGTTAGCGTCACTACTGCGGAAAGTGAATAACGGCCGTGACAGAAGGTTCGAATAGAGGACAAAGTACAGTGGAATTAGTATTTAAGGATCGCTACGGATGCCGCGAAGGTCTGTCACAACATATTAAAAGACAGGACCAGGAACCAACAGTATCCGGGTCTCAGAACTCGTTCCGGGATTCTAAAGTAGTTCTGTTTAACAGAAGGATGCTCAAACTTAAAAACGGTTGAAAGAAACTGTAAACCATCGTCAATAACAAACACGACGAAACTTATTTACTTTCTGAACTGAAGATAATGACTCGTTGACGATGTCAGGTGTTAGGAAAAAGTATCATCCTTCGCGCAATTCGAATAAATATCTGAGAAATCCGGAGTAATGTTATCCTACCATGGAGACATGACCAGCGAAAACAGTCCCACACGCTACAAGAAGCTACGGGACAGGTGCGACGACGATGAGGAATCCGAAAAAGTGACACGACAACGTTACACTGATTCATTCATTTCCTTTCCTCCATTTGAAGGGAAAATGGCATGCACTAACGTCAACCTATGCAAATAAAATAGGTGTTGTTGTGCTTAAGAAATGAATATTTCTAAGCTGTCAGTCAAACGCCCGGTAGTAGTCGAAACAGGTTTAAATAAGACGCAGCTTAATGCAAACAACAAAAAGTACCTACCTTGAAATAGTAAAACAATTGCCGAAGTCTTTCATCGGTTCCCAGAAATCCCCAAGCGAATGTTGGGCTGACCTGTTCGCAAACATCGTAATAGTGGCTCAAGAAGCCATCGCGCACCTGAAACGTCACAACTCTGAAAAAAAGTTCGAGCAGACAATGTTTAAACGCGTTGAACCTGCAGTCGCATCCGTTTAGCCCTGATCACAGACCATATAACACCGGATAAAGTCTAAAGTAAATAAATAAAAACATCTAAAGGGGGCAAAATTTTAGGCCACAAGCAAAAGTACAAACAAGCATATAGTAAACGTTTCTGACTAAATTCTTGACTGCAAACTGCATTAAATTCTTAAGCAAGTCGAAATTTTCACCCGCTTTGAACAAGTTCAATAAAGCAAATATGAAAATACCCCGCACTGGGGATGTAAAAAACGGGAAAGTTACGCACACGAACATACTCCTCA